TTTCACTGGAGAAAGCATTATTATGGATAGAGGACCAGAAGCCAAGATTAGAAATGTCATAATGTTGGAATTGGTTTTATACAAACATGCAGCTTTTGGCTTCACAAGACATTAATTGATGGACTGGAGTGGTGTCATGTGGAGTGATGTTTTTATCAGCTGTTTGGACTCTCATTCTGACGGCACCCATTCACTGCAGAGCATCCATTGGTGAGCAAGTGATGGAATGCTACATTTCTCCAAATCTGTTCCCATAAAGAAAGAAACTCATCTACAGGGTGAGTACATTTTCAGCAAATTTTCATTTTTGGGTAAACTATTCCTTCAAAGAGGCCAAACAGCTCAATAACTCTGCAAGAGCAATTTTTTAAGTGAACTTTTTGGGATTTGAAAAACAGCAAAATGCAATGCAATTTTGATTTCAAAGAGTTTTTTTTTTTTTTTTCATTTTATGTAGACTATCCAAACATACACATAGTTCACAAAACAACAAAATTCTGATTTCAACTGTTAAATTTTGCCTGAGGCAGATGTTATCATATCTATCATGAAATACAGAACTGAATAATTTATCTAATTTATGGAAGATAAATTATTCAGTTTAAAAAGCATCTTGTATATGCTTATATGTGTAGTCTTTGACGTACTGTATCCTCACAGTATTATATATATAACCCTGCTGCCCTGAACAACAGAACAGGATGCTGCATAGCTTTGCCACACTGTTGTGTTTTCTCGCTGCCAGGGGAAAACTAAACAAAATGGTTCTGGTTGTACAGTATGTGCGTCAGGACGCACGCTTACGTAGTGGAGCTTGAAGTGCCTTCTGGTGCCGAATGTTTTTACTCAAGCATACTTGCTCACAAATACCTTTTTTGGTTTACCTGATGGATTCGTAAATGTTTTCATTAACATTGTTGACTGTTGCAGTGACAGTTTGCAGATACAAAAGTAAACTTTTGTACGCATTTGGTTGTGAAAGGTGTAGAGCTAAATTAATTTCTCATGTCATTACAGAGATCGAGTCTTCATGGCCAGAAACAGACTTTCCCAGACGCAGGATCCTGCAGTATGGCGTGGAAAATCAAACAATTGACACTCCCAGAGCAGGTGGGCAACAAACGTTTTATAGTGTTTGCATTTCAGAAAATGTTAAATCTCAAATTTATATTTAAGATTTTATGGTGTGCTATTTTTTGAGTGTTTTCCTGGTCATTTATACAAACTTCTGAGAGTGAGAGCAAATATTTGTTTTCCCCAAAGGCCACTGCTTGAAAGATATACAACATTTACACAGTAATATATATTTGTGTGTGTGCATATCTCTAGGCTATTATGGATGCATGGAGTATATTCTCTAAACTCCGCTTGTGAAAATGAAGTCTGCTTCATTGTATTGAATGTGCACTTGTAGCATTAAAAGCACTAAATGTCTAAAAATCTAAACATCCTTAAACTCAAGGTATATTTACTTGCAAATGCAAATGTAAAAAGTCTTGAAAAATTGAACAAAATTAAATGAGTTCATGCTTAAAACAAGAATAAAAATCTGTCAGTAGGGATTTGAAAACTGAAGTAGATTTTTTTCTGAGCCCATTTGCAGGTTTAATTTTAGTTCTTGTTTAAATCATAAACTCACTTTATTTTGATCGATTTAATCATAAACAAGACTTTTTAATTTTATGTCATTTTGCTTCTCAAGTAAACGTGTATTTATTTTAAAATCATCACTTTTTTTCCTTCAATTTATTCCTTTTTTTACTTGATCTTTAAAATGTTTTAAAAAAGTCTTAAATTTACCTCGATAAAACCTGCATAAACCCGGTTAATGAAATAAAAGGCCACTTAAGTGACGTAAAGAGAGACATTTTCCTGACTGTATTTCTTAACACGCTTAAGTACACAAAAAGTGCACTTTGTAATACTGTCAAATTAAAGGTATTATTTGTTAAGTACATTTAAATCAGTGTTTGAATAATTTTGTGTTGCTTTACAGAAGTACATTAAGTCAGTGTATTAAGACAAAAGAAGTAATTATGAAATTACATATAAAGATGTACTTAAGTCCTACTTAAGTGGGTCAAAGATCTAAAACTCCTTAAAGTTCAGCTGATTGCATTTAATATACATTTTTAAACTATAAAACATTTTCATTTAATTTTAACAGTTAAATGTCCAAAAGCATTGCATTAAGTTTACACTTAAGTATATTCTTTTAAAATACATTATTTAAGTACTCTTTTAAAAGTATGTTAGAGTGTACTACTTTTTCACAAGTCTGCTTGGCCTTCGAAAAGCAGAGTTCTGTCTAACAAGGCCATATGTTGTTGAGGTGTATGAATTACTGTTGCAAAACAGAAAAAAGACATATGAAAGGGATGGAAGAGAAAACATACACTGTCCAGAGATATCAGGAGGCTACAGCAAACATAAACAGATGTCAGGAACAGACACTCTACTGCCTCATCTGGAAAACACTTACAGCCATTGATCTCAGACAAATACCTCTGTTGTTATTATTGTAGTTCTGTTGCAGTTTGTATATTATGCAGACAAAGTACTGAGAACTGAGATCACAGCATGGTCTGTCTGCTTTAATCTGTGAGCGCAGCAAGCAGTTTAAATAATGGCGAACACCACAGACTGGATGCTTGCGGCACTGTAAGTTGCCAGAATTAGACCTGTACACTTGAGCATTGAAGATACACAGTCTTCAAATCAGGGATGTCAGGCATAGAGTGAACCATAACACTATCTAACTAGATCTTTTGATATAGAGAATCTGATTTCCCCAAATGAACAGGTCAAATCAAAGAGTGTTAGAACAAATGACATGAGTTATTGACTGAAAGATTAATATGATTAAAACCTGACTACACAGGTTTCTCCACATTATTAAACTACCATATGCATACATGCAAAAACACACCCTTGTGAAAAAGAAGTGTGCTTTATTCTACTGAATGTGCACTAGTGCTCTACTTGAGACACTTTCATGACTGTTTCTGAACACACTTAGTACATTTAAAATCATTATGTTTTAATAATCTGTTGTCATGCTTTAAAGTACACTTGTTTTGATGTGTTGACTAGCATACTAAAGCACATGTAATTATTGATTATAATTATAACTATAGTATTTGATATTACATTTTAAAGTTATATATATATATATGTGTGTGTATATATATATATATATATATATATATATATATATGTGTGTGTGTGTGTCTATATATATATATGTGTGTGTGTGTGTCTATATATATATATGTGTGTGTGTGTGTCTATATATATATATGTGTGTGTGTGTGTCTATATATATATATGTGTGTGTGTGTGTCTATATATATATATGTGTGTGTGTGTGTCTATATATATATATGTGTGTGTGTGTGTCTATATATATATATGTGTGTGTGTGTGTCTATATATATATATGTGTGTGTGTGTGTCTATATATATATATGTGTGTGTGTGTGTCTATATATATATATGTGTGTGTGTGTGTCTATATATATATATGTGTGTGTGTGTGTCTATATATATATATGTGTGTGTGTGTGTCTATATATATATATGTGTGTGTGTGTGTCTATATATATATATATATAGGTTAAATGTACTAAATTGTATATTTATCATTACACATGTGTAATTATATTTATATTTAAAATATATAAATAATGTATTTATTTTTTCAAAAATAAATTGTTTGTTTGTTTGGGCGCAGTACCAAACAAACTACTGAACTACTACCAAACTACTGAAATTCGTTTCCCATTCATTTCCAATGATGGTCTGCTTGGTTTCATTAAAGGTGCAATAGGTGATTGTCTTGGGATGTAAAAAAAAAATCGAATTTCGAATATCTGTCGAATTTAAAATAAAAAACGTTGCGTTCGAATTTTAGGTGTGCGTTAAGGAGGCTTATCAGTGGCGCACGAGATGCGATGACGATGTAAGTGTCGTTGCATTTTAATGTTTTTGTTTGCCTATCCAGTTGAAGCCACTAGATGCGACGCTGCTGCGTGTTAATTTCAAATATTGCGGGAAAAGAGAACATCAATGCGGAGAAGATGTTGTTTACGTCAAAACTGAAACCAAGCCTTTCACACAGAATGCATATTTCGCACATTTTCTAAAGGGACATCTATCACCGTTGCACTCGCGTCTCGCACAAAAGAGCCGCATGTTTAGAAAGCCATGTAAAATTAATGCAAGTTCAACTTTGAAAAAAACATATCTCCAGACTTTATGGTGGGGGGTTTCCCCCATCCCACTGCAACTCGTGTTTTTAAATGAAAGATATACTCTCTGATTGGCTTTCGACCCTTTGTATTAAACTATGAATACATACATGATGCTGTTTTGTTTATAGTTGTTTAAGCAACTTAATTAATTATAATTTGTTTATAAACATTATTTTAAACATTATGCACTTTTGTCATAGATAGTCACGTTATTTTATGCTTTGAATTAGGGCTGAAAGCTAACATTGCCATGCCGTTTTCAACTGATTAACATTATGAAAACTGGTAAAAACTTTAGAAACTCTTAATATAACTTCCAACAATTCCAATTTATGTAAATTTTTCCCCATTGTATTGCCACAGGGAGCAAAAGCGCATTTATTCCTGAAACACAATAGATCCATTATTGAAACTCGGTGAAAGTTTGATCATGGCAGATTTGGTTACACAAACAGCACAAATGGCTTGTGAAAAAACACACATTGGCTGTATGACACTTTCATGCAAGCAGAATATCGCTGTGGAGAGATCGCTAAACTCCAGCACATGTTTTCATATCATCAGCGAGCGCGCGCAGGGTTGCCAGATTGCACAGATTAAAGGGGTCATATGATGGTGTTAAAAAGAACATTATTTTGTGTATTTGGTGTAATGAAATGTGTTTATGCGGTTTAAGGTTCAAAAAACACATTCTTTCCCACATACTGTACATTATTGTTTCTCCTCTATGCCCCGCCTTTCTGAAGCGCGTCGATTTTTACAAAGCTCATCGGTCTGAAAAAGCGAGGTGTGCTCTGATTGGCCAGCAATCCAGTGCGTTGTGATTGGCCGAATACCTCAAGCGTGAGACGGAAATGTTACGCCCCTCGGAACATGGGCTGGAATTGGGAACCGCTGATGTAGCCTATGTTGTCCCTCGTATTCTGGTCTGTGAGCGTATATGCGTTCAGGGGGCGTGGCTTTGGACGGCGATTGCAGGGAGGGTGGGACGTTCGCTTTCAGTGCTATCAGGCTAAAGTTATCATTTTCCAAGATCTCCTACTGCACCTTTAAGTGTGAGACTTAAAGCTGAAATACTGACTACTGTGAAAATTGGCGAGTTTTCTTTTAATACATTGTGTTTTAATATTAAAATACAAGTAAGTTAGTATTGTTGTTAAAGGTTAAATCATGTTTCATTTGCCTTTAATCTGTATACTCAGTCACGGCTATTGAAAATGAAAGGGATGTGAGCATTTTGTGAGTATGAAAATACAATAGGTAACTCATCAATTCAAAGAGCGCTTGCAAAAATTAATGAGTTGATGACTGCTCTCATCATCAGATCTGCAATTGGATGAAATGCTACTGGCAATTGGCAAAGTATCTGGCAAAGCTTGTCTGTGAGAGCTGAGCAATATTATGTTTAATAGGTGCAGTTCCTTAAACTGCTCTTCCGTAATTAGAGGGGATTATGTAATAAGTCTGAGATTGATTTCTCTTTTCTGTCTCTCTCTCGTCCTCGCCATTGTTTTTGTTCCTTATAAAAGGACGAGACGGCAGACCTCGTCTTCAGATGAGAATCCTTTGAGGTTTGTGTTGCTTGGCAACTGAATGCTAAATTTTGGGAGCGTGTGTGTTTGTGGAGAGCCGTGTGAGAGCGGGAGCTTAGATGAAAAAGAAAGGCGGCGAGAGAGAGAGAGAGAGAGAGAGAGGTGGGAGGAAATAAATAATGAGAAGGAAAGGGAAGGTGCTATTTTTAGGCATGTCAGTAATCATTGCACATGATGTTCTTTGCGTTGGCCAAATATTTTGTGTACATTTCAGAAGGAGTAGGTGGCTAGAAAATCCCTCGAAGACAAGCACAATCACTGCAGT